TTATGGTTTAAAGCTCATGTGTGAAACAATGCAAGAAAGTTTAGAGGTGAAATGGTTGGGTTATGAGAGCTTTAACCTAATGAGAGCATTAATCCACTGACAGGAATAACTCTGTGATAAATAGGTAGAGTGTGGCTGGAATAGGTGGGTCCTGGGAGCAGTGCCCTTAGGGTTTTTATTTTGTCTCCTGGTGTGGGGGGCTGTCTGTTTCTCTGTGCTTCTTGATTGCCTGTCCTGAGCTGCTTTCCTGTGCCTTATCCTTCCTCCATGGTGTTCTGCCTCTCATGAGTCCAGAGCTGTGGAATCAGCCATCTATGGTCTGGGACCTCTAAGACCATGTATGCCAAATAACCTTTTCCTCCTCTACAATTGTTCTTATCAGGTCTTTTGATCACAGAGACAAAAAACTGACTAAAACAAATAGTTTTACTGATTTTGGTGCAACACAATGTTTCAGGTTTAGGTTATATATTTCCTGCCTCAGAACTGGAATTTCTCCCGAGAAGCTTCAATTTCCTCTGGATCAGAAATGATAATGAAAGATCATAATCAGAGTATTAAGACTGCACATTACCATCACATTCTTTAGCACTTCAAGACCTTTCTGCTGATGGAGCTGAGAAACGTGTATGTGCACATATAAAATCATGAGTGTATGCTGATGCTATTCAAATCAGGATATCATAAAGTCTTTATTTAACTTCATCATTTTGTGTCTTTTTCCTATTCCAAAAATCCCAGTTCCCAATGACATCAACATGATTTCTCATTTGCTGTATACCAACACACAAAGCCAACATGCTCAATCATTATCAGAAATGGCATGAGTTTTGTTTGCAGTGTTTTTTTAAAAGTATTTAAAGAGACATATCACACTAGATATGTTCAATCAGATTACTGTGTTTTAAAATCATTTGAAAAATTTTGTATATGGTATGCTGCCAACTCATCAGATAGATTCATTAGCTCTTGACTTTTAGGAATTGCTTTTTAAACTTAAATTCAGAGCTGTGTAAAATACATGGTTTTTAATGTTCATGTGCTAAAAAATAATATTAAAGAAGCATAG